AGCAAATTGTTCATTTAACATTTTGGAAAAGTAATCAGAGAGTAAGTGAATTGAATTGAAAAATGTATAAGAAAATGCTGGAATTGGAAGACGTTTTTTGGTGCTTAATGGGATCTACTCAGATTGGATTCCGTCGAGATTGCTTTTGTGAGCTGAATTTTCAGCTAAAGGGAAGCATTAAAATAAAGTTCTGAAAGGAAAAGAGCCAACAATTATTTGCATTATTTAAATAGCTGCTTTAGTTGTAGTTTTGCATTTAATTAGCTGGATGGGCAGCTAATCAACTAACTGCAGATATATTTAACTCAATTAAGTGACCTTTCTGCCTCTGCAGTCATTCAATTACAGCTACAGATTAATCCTGCACAACTTACGATACTCTGAACCATTCAAAGATACTCTCTAATCAGTGTACTGTGTACATAGATATATTCGTATCAATGGCTGTGGATGCAGAACCACACATGGAGCCGGAATTGCTTCCTGTTGACTAAAGCAAACGCGCAGTCAAAATTACCTTTACCAGCTGCAGTGGAAAACCAAAGGAAAACCAAACTGAAAACCCATTGAATGCGAGCGAAAGGGAAGCAGAAAGAGAGCCAGAGAGCCAGAGCGCCAGCTGGGGGAATCGCTGACAGGAAGCAAGCCAAAATGGCAACAACAAATTACTCGACCCGTAACCACAGTGCAATCAATTGTAGTGGTCCAGAAAGCACAGTCAGACGGTGAGAGAGAGGGAGAGGAAACGCAGAGAAAGAGCAAAGAGAGAGAGGTGCTAAAAAGAGAAAGAGCGGGGAGGAAAGAGAAAGAGTGTGTGGTGTGGTGTGTGCCACAGAGAGACTATGAGGAGAGGACACACAGTGTGCCTCCAAAAAGCACTTTATATGCCGAGGTAATGGCGCCTAATAAACGTCTTCACTTGAGTGCGCTCGGCTCCACCCAGCACAACCAGCGATCGAACGCTTCGACAACCCCCAACCCAACCACCCAACCACCAAAAATCTGCCACCCACAAACAACACCCAAAAACGGTGCAGGAGGCAGGGAGAGAGGGAGAGACAGGGATATATAGAGGAAAGGTCGAGCAAGTAATTATGATTTATGTCGCTTTGGAGAATGTGCAAGGCGTCTAATTGTGTGGGCGTGCTATGGCTACAATTATGTGCTCCCACCCTCCGGCCGCACACCTCTACCTCTATTTAGTAGCTCCCACCATGAGGCAAGCATTCCATTCCATTCCAAGCTGCCCCTGCCCAGCCCTGCCCAGCCCTGTCTGTCTGTCGCCCATTATGTCAAGCCGACCGAAAATAGTGGAAATCCAACACGACTGTCAGATAAAGTAATTACAGGATGCTGGCTCTGGCTCTGGCTCGGGCTGTGGCTCTGGTAAGCGAACACGCCAAGACCTACGAGGGGGGGAGGGGGGTCCAGAGGCGTGCAAAATGTGTCATGATGTAATGCATGCTAATGCCACATTCTCCCTCCCCCCACACACACACACACACACACACCGTGCTGTGCCACTTCTTTGGAGTCTGGTTGGCAATCATTAAAATAATTCAAGCTGACCAGCGGGCCAGCGGCCAGGGCCAAGGGGGATCAGGGCGCACATTGACCTGGCTGAAAAGGATTCCAGGAATGGCATTGTGTGGCCCTGATCTCTGGCATAATGTTAATGAAAGTGAAGGCTTTCAGGGCTGGATGGATATCCACCCACATTCATAGGCCACAAAGGATGGACACACTCCGGCCGAACAATTGAAAAATCAGTAATCAATGCCGCCGCATTGTCAACGTGGCATGTCCTTGGGGAACGCTGGCGGCCAGAGAGAATGGGGGAGGGGGAGATGCTTCGCACTTAATTAGTAGAATGTCCCCGATTTTAAAAGTGGGCGTGTACGCCCAAACAGCTGTAGCGCTTAATTACTTGGCAACGAACGACTCGAGAATGGCTGCGGGCTCTTGTGGGCCATCGAATGATTGTGGAAACGCAGGAGAAACAATTCTGCATGAAAGGAAAATAGGCACGATGCTTAGCCATTGATTGGTGGCTGTGTGAATAAGTGGAGGGATACTTTTTGCAGGAAGGGAAGTGAATGAGAAAAGTGAGAAGTGAGAAGTGAAAAGCAAAAGCAAAAGCGATGTGTCTTAATTATGGAAAAAGGTTATGCAGATGTGATTAGTTAATTACGAGCAAAAGTAATTTTAATCAACTAAAAAGTTACTTTAACTGCCTCAAACTTATTTTAACTACATTTAGTTACCCAAAAAGTACTCCTGTATTAAGACACAGAAAAGTATCTGGCAATTGAAAAGTCATTTAAGCTGCCAAAACGAAACTTTACTCAACATTTTTTTTTAGGTACGAAAATATGCAAAAAAAATAGTATATACTTTTTGCTGCAAAGTATCGTCAGTTATATAATGGAAAATAACTTTTAGAAATGCATACACAAATACTCCATTAGGAGATTAAGTTTTGCTGTATGGGAAGTTCCCTAAGATTTATTTCCAGCTATCGGAAAGTATCTTCAGCTTAATGCTACCTAAAAGAATCTGCAAGTATTTATTGTCAACACATGCTGCGTGCAGGTGCCGTTATCTACCACAAGCAAGCATCTTAAATTAACAAAAAGTATCTGCGACCACGCAAAACTATCTTAAGCTACCGAAAAGCTATCTTAAGCCAGGCAAAACTCTCACATATTACCTACCAAAAAATGTGCTTAAGCACTCAAAAGTGTTTTTAACTTTTTGGAAAATGTTGAGCCACGAAAAAACTATCTTTAACCTTGGAAAAGTATCTACAGCCAGAGTATCTTTAACTACGGAATGGCACCCTTAACTAGCAAAGAGTTTCCCCGCCATGCTCCTGCTCCTGCTGCTTGGAGGAATATCTAGTTACAGCAAAGTTTCTCAGGCCAATGAAATGTATCTGCAGCTACTTAATAACACACTTTAGCACCGAAGCACCGAAGCACCAAAGGAGTAGCCGGCCGAAATAGTAGCCACCGGAAGCACACAGCATGTCCCTAAGTCCTGACATATTTCCAGCCATTAGAACTAAGCGTTTGAGTTGCTGCTGCCTGCCCAGATGATCTGCCACGTTAACTGGATTATGCACATACCAAATGGTTGACGGTTCATCAAGTGGGCCATCAACAAATTACTAGCAGAAACTCGAATAAAAATTTGCCTAGCTGTCGTAAATTCTCGGCTACAAAGGCTAATCGCGCGCAGCTAATCAGGCGCAGCTAATCAGGCGCAGCCATCAAACCATCAAAGGCGCCGTCCGAGTCCCGGAGTAAAAGGCTTGAACTGAATAACATAAAAAAAGGAATAAACTCAATTCAAAGGGAGAAGGAAACTGCGTGCCAGGACACCATTATGCTAAAATATTGCTTGGCGGTACTTAATCAGCACAAAGGCCTTTTTGCAGCTCTGCAGCGCGTCCCCCCATTCAGGGAGGTCGCTCTCCTACTTCATTTTGTGGCACACGCCCTCCGTGGCGGCGGGGGGGCTGTCGATTTAATTGCCCCACAGACACTTCAATGTCAGCATAAATTAAATTTTGATTTCGCTTCTACGGCAACTGGGTGGGCTCCGGTGGAGTCTGGACTCCGGACTCCTCTAATGAAATTGCGCACGCCAAATTGCACAGCCGCCGGAATGGGTGGGCGGGGGCATCTTCTATCCGCCTAGTGGCGCCCACGGGGCAAGCCTCAGCCTCAGCCACAGTTCCAGTTTCAGACCCCCTGCAATGATGATGAGCTCATGATGTGGCGGCGGCCTGAATTGAGTTCGAGGAGGCCTAAGTTAGTCGTTGCTCAGCCATTGTCGCATCAATTAATTTCCGCACGAGCCACGAGCCACGAGACCAGACCGCCTTCTTCCATGCCCACATCTCACTCATCATCAGGAGCCCCATTCTCCTATCACCCATCAGTCCAGCCCCCTTGCCACAACAACAGTGCTTGCAATTGTATGCGGCGTGCCACGTAATGAGCTTAGCGTTCGGCTGATGGCGGAAACCTAAGGTGGCCAGCCAAGTCACTGTCCATTACGGCTGAGTGGAGTGGAGTGGAGTGCTGGCTGGAACGCTGCGGGGCGGACATCTTGTTGCTGTCAGCGCGCGACGTCCAGGATGCCACGGCACGCTGGAAGGGATTTTAAAGTTGGGTGATTAGGCTAAGTCGCGTGGGTGGACTGTAGGTGGGCGAGATCTTTGCGAACAAAAACTGATTAAAAAGCCACGCGGCCTCCGGGCCCTTTGAAAAGTTGTGTGGCACAGCTCCCGGTAGCTGTGTTCAACACTTTGAAACAGGAAGGGAACATAAAAGCCAGCTCTGCATCCCACATCCCCCCAGCAAACTACTCACAATCTTTTCTAATCATGATGCGGTAGGATAAGAGACATTTACTAAGGCAGAGGCGGACAGAAAGTGAAAGCTCTATTCTAAAGAAGATTTTTAAAAGGTTTTCTCCAGGCTACAATTTATTTTAAATTATTTAAACTATTTACTTTCATTCTTGCTTTGTCATTTGCTTTGCATCAAAGTTGCCTCTAATCAATCACTTAATAATTATTTGCTTTTGTGTTTTTATTTAATTATGATTTTTAATTATATCCACTGTTCAGGGCCGCAGCGCTGTTAGCATGCCAGAGTTAACAGTTGGTTGACGGTGTTGCTAACAGCGGACTGTTAGCTGGCTCTCTCTCACTCGCGCTGCTCAGTCACGATCCACTCGGCTCTACAGACTGGCGGCTAGCCTTAAGCTTCGCCGAACATCTAGATTCTAGAACTATTTTCGTTCCACACCGAACTTTCTTCCTACATCCTTCCACAACTATACGCATATGTATATTAGAAGTACCCCCTCCCACGACTATTTATTGGGAGCCAGTGACTTGGGATTAACGACGTCCACGGGAAAAACTCACGGAATCCACCCTCCCTCCCACAATCGTCCACTGATGATTGAAGCTTTGTATATATATATCTCTGTACGTATAGTTACTGCTGGCTGGCTCTATGCTGGTTTATAACAAGAATTTTAACAATTAACAATTACACGTTAAGGATGCCTGCGAATCAACGTGCTTGTATGTGTGTGTGTGTATGTGTGTAATGGGAGTGTCAGAGATCGGGGAATGATCATTTATTTTATCTTCTCCTTCCGCCCCGCATTCATCTCGAATCGGGAGACGAACTTCTTCTTGTCAGCGTTCTGCATTCGCTTGGCAATCTCCTGCTGGTGCTGTTTCCACTTCAGATTGAGATTTTCCACCCGTGCCGGATCCAGCGACTCCTTCTTGAGTTTTACTGATTCCATTTGCAAATCGTCGCCGGGCTTCTTCTCCTGGGGATTCAGCAGGCTCTGCTTGCACATCTGTCTCAAATAGTCGCGGCGATTCAGTTTCGATTTCTTCTGCTCATCCTTGGGGGCCTCGTCCGCTGCGGTGGCCTTCTTCTTGACTTCGGGACCCCGGTAGCTGGGCTGGGGCACCCAAGGCATAGGTTGACGCCCCAGTGGCGACTGGCCATGATCAGAGCTCGTCTTCTGTTCGCCAGGCTTCTGCTCGTTGCCCTCTTTGTTGCTCTTTTCCTTCAACATTCGCTTCAGGGCATCGCGGCGGTTCAGCTTGTAGACGTTTTCCAATTGTTGCGGCTGGCTATCGGAGGCACAGCCATTTTCGGACTTGAGCGCCACCACGATGGCTGACCCTTCTTTTGCTGTGACGGTCTGCTTCTCCTTCTCCTTCTGCTGCAGTACGGCACTGGGCTGAAGATCCTTTTGGGCACTGGGTTTGCTTCGGCGCAGAGTCCCCACAGACAAGTGCCGCTGCGCACCTGAAGCTTTAAAAAACCCATCGACATAATGGCCAGATCTCGCCGCAGTTGCATGGAAATACTCACCGCGCGTCAAGGAACGTGTCACCATCCACATACTATTTATGCGACGAAACATTCTGCCTTGAACTTTTGCGAATTAAAATTACTACAATGTCGAGTCTTTTAATTCGAGTGTAAAATGAAATGCTTTAAGTCTAGCACTAAAGTTGGATCTTCCATTTGGAACGAATCAGACAGAGCCTGCTCGATACTTCGAAACTACTCAAAACAGGGATGATTTTCCATGGGTTCCACACGAATATCATCCCTGTTTTGGAGGCTTAAAAATGTATTTCGCCAGAGTACTATATTTTGTATAGCTCATTTCCACAGACTGCCATTTCTGGGATGGTCCGTAAGATTTGGAATATCGAATATAAATCGACAATTGGAATACAAAATAATCGCTTGACCAACACTACGTTCCCCTGTCATCTATCAGAAGGAAGTCGGAAAGAAAACTAAGCCAGAAAAACACTTGACAAAGCAGCAGAAACAAGCGACAAAAATGTCTCATAAAAAAACGGAAAAACCCAAGAGAAAAATTGCCAAGGAGTAAGTAGAAAATTGTGGAGGATGATCCGGTATAATCTATGCTTATCTACGCTTATCTGCATTAGGAATCATTTCATCTCTACGGCGGTGTACCGAGTCAGTTTGCCCGATCCCGACGAGGGCCTTAAGTTTCTGCCTTGCGGCAAAGCCCTCGAAGAGTACGCCAATGAAATTGTCACCTTCCCGGAGGTGGAGGCCCAGTACGAGCACCACTTCGAGGGGCTGGAGGATATCCTGGATGTGGATCTGATCACTCGCAAGTTCGGCAGACGGCGCTTGAAGAAGAAGCAACTGAATCCCGAGGAGGCCGATCTGCTGGCGGACATCGGGGCCACGCCCAGCCGCGACAGGGAGTGTGCCCAAATGTTCGCCAAGGAACGAGACCCGGTGCCACGCCCACGCGCGCCCCTAAAAACTCGACCAGCGGAGGGGCAGGAGTCCAAGGAACTGGAGGCTCTCAGCCAGGAGGAGCAGACACGGCTGATCAACCAGACCTTTGAGGACGTTCAGGTGGCGCCCAAACCAAAGAAAAATGTCCATCTGGTGGCGGAGTTTGACCTGCTCCCAGACGAGGAGCAGACCGGAAATACTTTTGTGGATATTCACTTCGATGTGGCCCCAAGGGCGGTTTCCACGCAGACAGTTCTGCGTGATTGTGGCGCCTCCATAGTGAACTTTGTGGCCGACCCAAGTCGAGCTCTGAGTCCCTTCGGAGGTTCGCGTACCTTTGTCTCGGATCAGCGCTTCACGGTGGACCACACCGCGGAGAGCAATGAGCGCGGGGAGCTACTGGCGGTGACCAGATTCACGGATGCCTACTACTACGTGCCCCTGGAGCGGACCATCAAGCTGAAGCGGCAGCGTCCAAGCTCCAAGGATCAGGCTGACAACTTCGAGCTGGTAAGTGGAGCCAAAAGAGGGAATTTAAATTATTTTTAATGAGTCATTAAACGCCCATAGCTGGTCAGGGAGCAGCAGCCGGGTGGGAACTGGTAGCTCAACGCCCGAAACTATTTCGCAACACTCGATCCCGTTTATTGATTGATTTGAATTAAAACCCACATTCGCCTCAATTAATTTTTATTTGTAAAAGGAAACGCTCTAAAAATAGCCCAAAAAGGCAACAGAAACAAACAGAAAAGAAAATCGACCTCGAAGCAATGCACTTCAATAGGAAATCATTGAAAATAAATCAATTATCGCTAAAGAAAGTCGGTTCTTGTATACACTTTTAAGACCAATCAATAATAAAATATTAATATTATTAAAATTAACTTTAACTCATTGGAAAATATTATTTAAATTAAATATGTGGAGCTTTAGCTTCAGGGTCTTCGGCTGTGTGGTTTTCTAGGCCTACAAAAATTGTTTAGATTAACTCATAATATTTCCATATATACCCAGATAAAAGTCTTTATTACAAGTCTTATTTGATAAATAATATTCCTCTAAATCCATTCGATAAAGCGATCGAAATCATCTATCTACTTTAGTATGAACCTGTTTGGATCCCCTCAAATGTCTGTCCAAATCTCTCAAAAAATGAAAGTGTACCCCAAGTCGTTTGCTCTACTGAAATGCAAGTCCCAATTTAAAAGTTAAGCTTAAATGCCAATGTTTGCTTATGGTTTGGATTCTGTTCCGATGCCGGACAGCCGCTGCCAGGCAACAGGCTCTCAACCTGCTACAGACCATCATGCCACGCCATGCCACGCCACTCCACGCCATGCGCCAACATGTGGGTTGATGAAGCGGCAGCAGCAGGCAACTTCCTGGCAGCCAGTCCTGGCCAAAAGCCACCATGACGATTTCAAAGTATTTCAATAGCCCCATCATATATATATATATATACATATGTATATGTGTGTGTATAGTATATGTGCTCCATATATTTGGAAGCATATTTATCGGTGTGTCTCCGTCTCTGTGTCTGTGGATGTGGATGTCTGTTTGTGGGAAATATAAAAATCTAAGCGAGAAATAGACAATTTTTATGACGTTTCCTCTGAGCCACCATTTTATTTTACTTTTTGTATTTCCCACTCACAGTCTCTGGACGGGATGGGGATGGCAGTGCCACTGCGGAATCCTATTTCATTTCGCCCAGACTCTTGGAATTTGTTGTGGCAGCGATTTGGCAGGCAACACAGTCCACCCTGTTGACCTCTCTCTCTCGCTCTCCCTCTGTTCTTTCTGTATGATGTCGCATGCAGCAGCTGTCGCTTTGGGGAATGCAATGCTAACCTGCCACATATTTGTTGGCCAGCACACATACACGTACATGGGATGGCTCTGGTTCGGGTTCGGGTTCTGGATGCACGATGGCTTAAATAGATTAGCCCATGCATTTCCTGCGGTTGGTTCTGTGTCATCTGCCACATCCCTATACCGAATCCTATGCCGGAAAAGTAAAAAAAAAAAAGCTGTTGCATAGCGGGCAATTTAGCTGAAGAGATGCTTAAGTGGCGGGCTGTAAGAATTTTATAGCGAATATCCAGACGAAAGAGTACAAACAGCGTTCAAGATTCAGTTCCTCAAATCGACACAAAGAAATTACCTTTTCAATATAGAACCACTTTTTTTTTATTCATCTCTTCCCATTCCACTCAACCGATTACTTTTATATGTAGCACCCCTTTCTAGCTTTTCATTTGTATTGGTTACCAAAAGAGTTCATTTTGGGACAAAAGGCGATGGCTTTCAAATCAGCCAGAAACTAATGTGCCTCTGCCCAGATCAAAGGCAAACAAATTCAAGTGCATTGAGTCCGCAACAAATCAAAATGAGATAGAGAGACAAAGAGAGAGAGACGAAGAGAAACGAACCCATCTTTCAGCAATCTCACTACGCCATACATCAAAGCAATCAAATGGACCCAAGTGTATCTATCAAGGCGGGCGATAAGTAACGGAACAAAAAAAAAAAAAAACAAGAAAAAAGAAAAAAGAAAGAAAAAAGAAAGAAATTCAAATCTCACTCAAAATGGGGCAGAGAATGGCAAGAGAACGGAGCAAGCGGATGCATGCTGGAGTGGAGGGGGGGGGAGGGTGGAGAGAGATGAGAGGTAGGTAAGTAAGTAAAGGAAACGGAACGATTTCATTTATAAATTGAGCTTCTCTTTTTTTGGCAGCATCTAAGTTACGAGAGGTTGCGACTGGCTGGCTACAAATTATCGCTCTGGCACCTAGCCATTGCCCCTCCATCGCCCCACCATTGCCTGTTCCTGTTCCTGTTCCCTACCACATCCCTTGGCTTGGCTAACTCTGAACTCTTCTTCGGTATCCTGGCTGTGTGTCTGTGTGTGTGTGTGTTTACTGGCCTCAAAGAACTGACCAAGCAATTTGCCGGGCCCTAAAGGCCAACCAACACCTCATCACTCACTAAGGCTAAGGGTGCCCAAAGAGCTATCGAAAGAGCTGATGGGGGCGGAGGCGGAGGCAGAGCAGCAAAGTCTTTGGGCCTGAGTGGACTCTTGCCTTAATTAAACAGATTTGTTTGTCGGCACTCTGTTTTGGTTCAGTGTTCAGTGTTTGCCCTGTTAAACAAAGAGCCCCCCATCAGGAATTATGGCCACACAAAAAGGTCAAATTGGTTCTTACTTTTCAATACTTATTGCTTCTAAGCTTACGCAAAACATAACATAAATTTCAACGAGTTGTCTCTCTCTCTCTCTCTGTCCTTTGCAGGAGAGGCTAATCTCTCATTTGCAATAAAAATCACAAGCGAAACGTTGTAGTGCGGAGGTTCATGCTATTTTATAGTAGCTACACAGCAAAATAAAATTAAAATCAAGTCGAAATTGTTGTAAGTCAAATATAATAATTGTTGCAAGATAAATATTTAAAATTTGCCCCCAACGAAATGTAGCATTCATTTTCTGGCACTACTTTATTCACAAATAATAGCTATGCAATTTTTGTCAGTGTAGCCTAGCTTTTGCAGCTCATCCCCTCCCTCATGCCGGTAATCTTCTTTTCCCAATAAAACCCAGTTGCGATCCATTAAAATACAATGTCAACGTCTCTCTCTCTCCACTCTCACTCTCCACTCTCACTGGCACTTCACTGGCTGGGCTGGCTGGCTGGCTGGCTCTCTGCTTCGGAGTTTATTGCTGAAGTGGAGCGAGCGTAAGCTGTGAGAGAGACATACGAGATGAGGAGTACCTGCAGAGCCGTCGCTTAGCCCCGTTTACATATAGTTATGGCCAAAAATAAGCCAAAATCCCCAAGAATAAATCCTTGGCTGAAGTTTGCCAAGCCATAGGTCAAGTGTAAAGTTAAACAAAAACGCTTAGCGCGCACACAAAGCCAGGCACAATGCTGGTGCAGGGTGAGAGGGGCTGAGACAGTGAAGGAGAGTGTAGAAGAGCGGATTTATGCTGCGACATTGCCTTTTGTTGGCGTTGGCAACGCTGTGCGCCCGTCTGCGGAAGGCAGCAAGGAAGCATAGGAAACGCACGGAATATTCACATTACACTGCAAGATGAAAAAATGAGACACGACACTGGAGAGGAGAGGAGAGGATAGAACAGCAGCAGCAAGAAGATGTAAAGGGAGACAAAGACGAAGACGAAGATGAGGATGAGGAGAGAGTGCCTCAAGTGCCAGCAATGGCCAAAAACGATGTCAAGTCAGAAAA